TGCCTGCCCTTCATGACTATAAGTTGACTTATCTTAAGTCAACTAGACATACTACCGTATCTATCTTGCAAATTTGCATATCCTGGATTGCCTTAAGTAATCATAAATCGCTTTTGTAAATGTTATAAATTGTGTGATGGCTGTAGGCTTCAGGCAATTTAGGAGCCAGAACGTAAATAAAAATCATATTTTAAAAATATCATTTTAACTTCAAATATGCGACTCCTCTTCACTAGCATTATACTTAGAAAATTATATTTTGCCTCATTCCTCTATGGTTGAACTGTCCACAAATGACTGCATAATCCTTTTTTACCATTCAATGCCAGTGTAAATTGAACCCTTGGGGAACTGTTTGCATCGACTTGAAGACTGATGACTCGTTGATGATTGCTTTAACTGGCTATTCTCCCGAGAAATGCCAGAAAAAATGCCGGAAAAAGCTTAAAACTAAATCTATCAGGCGACCATACTCTTAAATAGACAGGTAGCAGTGGCAGACGGTGAAGTATGATCGCATTTCCGAAGTCTCCCAGTGAAGCGGTCTACACAAGCGATCGAGAGCCATCACACAGGAGGCCAATACTTCTTGGCCCTTATTTCCACAATACCATATCTTGTCTAAAAACCATGTCTATCTCGGCCGTTAAGTTTACTGTTACACATCATAGGCTTTGCCTGGGATAAAATGGGGCTCGAGCTCATGCATGCTTCACATTAGGCTTTATGATTCAGACGATAAAGTAGGAAATGTGGATTTAAAACTCAAGTTGTAACTTGAATGAAAACCACCCTCTGGACACAGGCTGGTTTGGAATCATTTGACATGACTTAATTTTAATTTAAATTCTATTACTCAACCACCAAGTAGAGAAACTAAGAGAAATAATATTATCTCACTTATATAGTCCAGGCCTATCCTATTCTCCTCTAAAATCTGGACAACCAACAAGGGTTCTATAAAATAAGGAAACATGAGCAATTCAGGACAATTCCAACGTCACATTCGAGCATAGCTCCAATATTGACCAAGTTTGCACTTTCTTCTGCCAAATGTTTGGAAGCCGCGAAAGATTTTAGCTATAATCAATATATTAATGATGATGGAACAGTATTTTTCTTTCCAACCATATTTACAAGACTGAGGTTGGAATGATTTTTAGAAGTATGATGCTAGCGGATAGCAAATATTTGACTAAAGAGTTGCAGCGACTGACAATATATTCCTGAAAATTAATTATCCGTTGGGCCTTATTGAGAATAATATCGCTCTACTGAGGAATAGATTTTCAGACGGAGACAATTTAGTCAAAGATAGACAGACTGAGACATTTTCCCATGTCCCAATATTGCTGTCATGCCTTCTCTCAAAAAAGATAGCCGAATATGAAAGAAAGTCGAGCATAAAAACAGTGTTTTAGGAAACCTTCATCTTTTAGAGAGAAATATGACTCATTATCGAGATTCGGCTGCTACAAGATTGTTTGCTCATGTGGTCGATGTTATATTGGTGAGACATGCCGA